AACGCCAGCCCACTGCCCAGGCCAGAGCTGCTCTCCGAGTCAGACCCGCTTTCGGCATGTTTCCCAAAGCCGTTGGTCACTCCTGCGGAGAAGACATAACAGAATTAGCCTAATGGCTTGGTGTGCCTCTCCCGGACTCAAGGATGCTTGAAGCGGGAGACACTGGGACAGCACAACCTGCTCAGGGACACGCTGCTTCTCAGGACAGTACCAAACTGACAGGCTATTTTGTCCCCCGCTGTCTTTTTTTTTAAAAAAACTCTTGTTTAACAGTTAAGTGAAAGGGAAACTCAGTTCCCCAGACCCAGCAGCTGCCAACAGATATCTGGTAAACTATTATTTGTCTGAAACCATTTGGCACGACGGGTTAGCTTCAAACCAGGGGTGGTGATCACCACTGTCATGTGTGCATTTCTCCAACCAGTTTCTTCTTTCCCCCTTCGCTCTCCTTGCACCTGCTGGTCTGTAACTCATAGGGGTTACTAGGGGTGAGGCATCATCGCAGGGGAAACAAACACCTATTCTGAATACACGAAGTACTTTATTTACTGTCCACTGGACAGGCTGCAAAATAACACATGCCAATCTTGGGGAGCACTGATTGCAGCATCTGATCCACAGTTAAACGTGAAAACAGGCCTCTGGACTCTCCCCTTGCAAAGCAGCAGTACCCCCACGTTCCATACAAAATCAGCCCCCCTAAGGGAGACCAGTATGGGGTACAACCAGCAAAGCAGAATTAGAGGAAAGCCACTTTCCAAAGGCAATTGAGCATTATTACCCCCACTTTAAGGATGGGGAAACAAAGGCACAGGGAAGCAAAGCTGTTTGCTCAAAGTCACACAGCCAGTCTGTGGCAGAGCTGGGAATTGGCCCCCAGCATCCTGGCTCCAAGTCTGGGGTTGTAGCTGCTGGAAACGTGTACAAAACAACTCAATTGGAAAAGGTAACTCATACTGATTACAACTAACGACCACAGGAATCACTGTATTTTTTTTGCTAGAAAACCAAATCTGAGATCTAGGAAAAGTCACCTTAGATAAAACCTTCTGCCTTGGATTTCCAATTCACTTGGCTATGCTAGAGAGTAGAAAAGCAAATTCTCCATGGATAGACCAAAGCTCCATCTACCATCTTTCTCTCAGGCCATTTCAAATGTCACTTTAACAATGAAATCAAATATTTAGACGTACTCTGCTGAACTCTAAAGTACCAAAGTTAGAAAGTTCCCTAAGCTGCCTGATTTTTATATTGCCTAACATACAATTACAGAATTTACCAGCTCAACAAAACACAATCCACACTGCTGTGATATGGTGTTCCCTGAGAAATAAATACAAATGCAGGATCATCTTTCAGCTTACACAGGAGACACAAACTCCAAAGAACAGGCAGGAACATGCCCACAGTAAGGGTACATCTACTCTGCATCCCTAGTTCGGACTAGCGATGCAAATGGAGACGACCGAAGTAGTTAATGAAGCGGGGATTTAAATATCTCGCGCTTCATTAACATGATCTCGTCCCGGCACTCACCAGGAAGTGAGTGCCGGGAAGCGTTAGTTGGGACTAAAGCCCTTAGTCCAAACTAACGTTACTCCTCAAAAAATAAGGAGTAACGTTAGTTCGGACTAAGGACTTTAGTCTGAACTAACGTGTCCCAGCGCGCACTTCCTGGTTCGAATCAGCTGTGATTCGAACTAGAGCGCCGGCGAGATCATCTTAATGAAATGCTCCTCTTAATGCAAGCCAAGTTATTATTCCACTCCCAGCAAGCCAAGTTATTATTCCACTCCCAGCACCTCTTGGCTGAGTGATGGAGTGCAAGTCCTCTGGGTAGATTCCAACCACACCATAGTTTCCCCCTATTTATTTAGCAATGGAATCCTACAACCACCCCAAACACCAACTAGTTCCACAACCCCTTTACAAGTGACTAAGGGCAGCAGCTGACCCGATGGGAATTTGGAGCCCGTCTTTTAAAGGCAGCTGGGTCAGCTGGCCAAGAGAGCAAGGACCAGGCACCCCTGCCCAGACACTGAAGAGTCACCTGTCTCTCCTGACTGCCTGGGGGATTTCTCGCCATCACTGGCACTGCAGCTCCTACTTCGCAGCCGTTTCCGGGCTTGTTGATCGCCCTCTGCACTGGAGGGGGAAAGCTGTCCACTCTGGCTGTGGTCCTCTCCATTCTCCAGGGGGCAGTCCAGGCCCCTCTGCAGCTTCACCCCATTCTTAGCTTTTTTAAAAAGCACAGACGTACGCCTGCCTACGCCACTGAAGGGGGGACTGGCAGGAGAGTCCGCGGCCTGAAGTGCCAGTCCGTTCAGCCCACTGTCACTGAGCAGGCGTTGGAAAGCCTGGCTCTCCTTCTGTAGTGTCTTCTTGTCAAAGAGCTCGCCCTCCGATTTCATCCGCTTCTGCAGTCGGCTCAAGGACTTGCTTTCACTAATGGGCTTGAGCATTGGAGGATCCTGGAGAGAGTCCAGCTCAGAGAGGGAGGGTGCGGGTCCTGTGGGTTCCAGGGTGGGAGGATGCGGGGGCTTGGTGTCATCTGCTAAAGAGAGAAAGAATCTGCTTGAACATTTTAGGAAGCGTCATTCCCTGAAATAATAACAACCCTCTGCATTTCCATGGCAGCAGGAAAGCCTGGAGTGATCACAGACGCCTATCACTCTCCCTTATGGATACAGCAAAAGACACAGGTCAGAACTAGACTTCCCCCGACGGAGAGCAAGACCATCTTCGTCCACACTAGATCCAGCTGCCATGTCAGTTGCAGCCCGTCCCAATACTTAATCTCCAACGCATGAAAAGACAACCTCGCATAGTGACATGCAGCAAAGCAGGGAGTGACGGACACGAGACACTGGATGCACAGACAGATCTAAAGACTACTGTTTAGAGATATGCCAGACACCATAGGCACAGGGTCTGGTCACACACTTGTGCCTCTGTACTTGTGTGTATTTCTGTGAGCTAGGGATTGTATTTAAGCAGGGATTTTGAAACGCGTTTGTTCAGGTAAACGTGCAACCGCTGAAAAATCCTGTGGGGCCGCCTGCACCCACCCATATCAGAGCCTGTTTACACAATCTCATCCCTATATTTAAGCTCCACGGGGGAGGATTATGAAGCTTTTTCCAGGGACTAAGTCACTGCAAATCCCGTGACAGATAACTCCAGAGAACTGCCACCCTGGCAGGCGTTGCGGAGACTGGTTCAGGCCAGGTTTGAAGGCCAGCAGAGAAAGAGAGGGGTTTTGGTATAAAGCCAAAGCCCCCCATTTCGAAGCTCAAACTGACATGAAACTATGACCACGAGAGTAAAACCCCACTGGAAAGATCTGAAGGATCCTGGGAACGCACCCATGCTGGAAGACAGGCTACATGTGTAAGCACAGCATGAGTATAGACTGTACTGTTTTACGGTATGTTTTCTCTCTCTTGCTTTTGCCTTAAAACAAATGGACTATGCTTGGTGAAAGCTGGCTATTCAATGGTAATGCTGCCAGAGTCTCTTGGAGGTGTTGGACTAAGGTCACACCTGCCGGGATACCCATAAAGAATCCCTAAATCCCCAGCCCGCAGATGAACGATTGCTGGAGGTCTGAAACCTAAAGGGGAATCCCTTGAATAGACAGCAGAGGGAGCAGAGGTGCAGCAAAACCCAGACCCGTGACATACGCCCAACCTTTCCTCTCACCCTCGTCTAACCTTTCCTGAAAAGCTTGTAACCCCATTGCTAATTCCAGTCCCTCACATGGTACAATCCCAGCCACCGCAATCCAGGGAACATGCCAATTGATAGACTGCCATGAACTACCAGAATGGTTTCTGATGCCCTATTTCCTTTTGACAGTCTGCTCCAGATTGTTTACAAAACTCACTGCACATGGTACACATCTCTTGCTGATACAACAAACACACTTTCCCAGTGCACAAAGAAATGACATTCCTCTACGATCCCAAACAAGGTTCCCTTCCTGCCCAGGCTGCACTAGGATCCATTTCCCTTGGAGACCCTCTGAAACTTCTCACCTTTCTCCCCATCATCGTCCTGCTCTCCCCTTAGCGTTCTGTCCAGCCCCTCCTCCCGCAAGGCAGGTTCTCCATTTGGCATGCTCTTGTTCTGTTGCTGGGCCAGCTTTTGCCGGATGGAGTTGATCTCACGTCTCAAAAGTCGGATGCGTCGGGTCCGGGCGCCACTCGACCGCATGGTGCTCACCATGTCCAGTTTCTCCAGCAACTCCTTCAATTGTGCCTCGAGGGAAAGGTGAGCCCGATTCTCGGGGAGGAGAATGTTGTCCACTGCACCAAGACGAGAAGCAGTGTTAGGACGTGATTGCTGACATCTCATGCACTCAGGAGTGAAAGGAAAAAACTACGCTCCTTGGAGGAGGAAATTCCACTAGACCCAAACCCAATTCCAACTAAATCAACCCGGCCAGGGCTTTGTCAAGCCGAGACTTGAACACCTCTAGGGATGGAGACTCCACTACTTCCCTAGATAACCCATTCCAGTGCTTCACTGCCCTCCTAGTGAAATAGTTTTTCCTAATATCCAACCTGGACCTCTCCCACCACAACTTGAGACCATTGCTCCTTGTTCTGCCATCTGTCACTACTGAGAACAGCCTCTCTCCATCCTCTTTGGAACCTCCTTTCAGGAAGTTGAAGGCTGCTATCAAATCCCCCCTCACTCTTCGCTTCTGCAGACTAAACAGACCCAAATCCCTCAGCCTCTCCTCATAAGTCATATGCTCCAGCCCCCTAATCATTTTGGTTGCCCTCCGCTGGACCCTCTCCAATGCGTCCACATCCTTTTTGTAGTGGGGGGCCCAGAACTGGACACAATACTCCAGATGTGGCCTCACCAGAGCCGAATAAAGGGGAATAATGACATCTCTGGATCTGCTGGCAATGCTCCTCTTAATGCAACATAATATGCCATTAGCCTTCTTGGCTACAAGGGTACACTGTTGACTCAGATCCAGCTTCTCGTCCACCATTCCAAGTCACAGCCATGCATCTAACTATAAGGATAATTAAACACCGGAACAGGCTTCCAAGGGAAGTTGTGGAATCCCTGTCATTGCACCAGTAAGACAAACACCTGTCAGGATGGTCCTGCCTCAGTGAAGGGGACTGGACCAGATGACCTCTCAAGGTCCCTTCCAGTCCATGTTTCTCTGATTATTCCTATCAATGCTTTTTGCAAACACGATGCCACTGGTGAAGGATGGAAGAATTCTCAGGGGCAGATTCCAAGAGGGAAAGCAGATCACAGACAGAGACAGCTCCCTGGAGGAACGGGAAGCGGTAGTCTGAGCTAAGTTCACAAAGTTATTTCGTACTGCATGGGGTTAGGAGCAAGTGCTTCAGAGATGCAGATTCGTATCATGGTGGTTTTTACCCCTGAAGCTATCAGAAGTTCAGGGCGACAAGACTATTTTCAGTGTTTTCAGTATTCTGGGTCACAATACCAAGACCACCTCTGCTGTCCGCTTCACAAAGAATTCTTCCCATCTCCCACCTCAACCCCTTCAGAACATGCCACTTCTTTGACTACCCAGACTGCCTGTGTTGGGAGAGGGTGTGCGGTCATTATGTCCAGGGCCAGGACAGGGGTGAAATAAGCTTAGGACAGGCTCTCTGCAGATGTGACTCAAAACAATCATAGAAGTTAGAAAGAGACAACACAATCCCATTCTACCTGCTGGCCAACACAGAACTACAGCCAACTGCCCTACAAGCACATAACTGATCTCTCTGTAGGAGGCACAGGAATACCTTTCTCGTGTATTTTAAATTCCAACAAACCAGCCTCCCAACCTAGGCAGACAGAGGCGAATGGTGGGGCAACCTCAGGAAGTATAAGACAGTCTAAACCTGCATGAATTCATCTTTTCAAGTCTCTTTAAAAATACCCAATTTACATTAGAGCCACAGCCCATAAAGTCCACAGCAAATATGTGCCCCTGGTCTTGCAGTCTGTGGTCCAGGGGGCTGGGTTTATGACCCAGCTCTGCCACAGACTTCCTCTATGACCTTGGGAAGATCACTTCATCTTTCCATGACACAGCTTCCCATCTATAAAATGAAAATTAAAGTCATTTCCCTGACTCCCGGGGAGTGCTGTGAGGATAAATTTGTGATTAATAGATGCATAAAGTCAGAATTTCAAAAGCTTTCAAGGCCACATTTCCAAGGGCCTGGCACCCCAAATCAGAACCAGATATTCCAAAGTGCTCAACAACCAGCAGCACTGCAAACTTTCAAAAGAGTTCAACACACTATGGGGCTCTTTTGAGAAGTTGTCCAATTTTTAACTCCTAAATAGGAGCTAAGATTGTCTGAAAATCTGTCCCGGGTAGTTGGTGTTGAGCTCATCTGGAATCTGGCTCTTAAATGTTACAATGGGGGCTACATACGTGCCTATCTAGGTAGACAGATGTGCCCGAATCTTACTCCTCAACTGGTGAATATGGTTGTAGCCCAGACAGAGTGATGTGGTCAGAATGATGGCCGGTTCTACACACAGTCTAGGAGTCTGGCTTTTACTGGACAGTCCTAAAACTAAACAGCCCAAGGGAACTCACCATCTTCCCAAGAAAAGCGATAAAAGTCTTCTGTTTTGGGTGACTCGGGCAGGTGAATCCCCACATTAGTGTCAAAGCCGATGTTTTCAGCCTGCCGTCGCGCATGGCGTAATATCGCTCCTCCGAGGTCTCTCAGCCGGACAGCTGCTCGGTGGAAAATCGTGTCTTTAGCATTATACCTCATGCAGTTGGTAACTATAAGGTTAAAGTCTTCCTCAAACTCATCCAAGGTTCGGTACAGGTGGGACTCCAGCTTCCGCCTCATGGTGGAAAAATCCATTGGATTGGATATGAATTCCAGGTAATCTGGAACCTAAACATATAAAACCTGTACAATTACAAAAACCATTTACTAGCCAACCAGAGCGCATCCATCATAAGCACTCTTAATGTCCTTTCCACCTGCAGAAGGGGTAGTGTCACCCAACTGAGCCAGCCGTGCCCTGGCTCTGCAGAATGAAATTGCGTGACTGAGATGCTGTAGTAAGGTTCCTGGGGTGCCCAATATGAGCCTCTCTTAGAAATGTCTTAGTTCATGCCCACTGAGGACAAAGATGGTTTGAGCTCTCTCAAAACAATGTCTTGCCCTTTCCAACTATAACACCATGTGAACTCCCCCTGCCCCCACTTCTTCAAAGCAGCATCCCCATCAGACCCTAAACTTCTAAGAAAGATACTTGCCTCATTCAAGTTTACAGGTTCTGCAAAAATCTGGGCTGGATCCTTCTCTTGCAGCAGGTCCAAGGTTGTGCGCAGCAGCACGTTGAAAGGAGTCAGCTGTAACTCCATAGCAGCCTGTTGAATTTTGACCTGGGAACAGTGGACAGGAATCACATGCAGTAATCCAAAATGGAAAATGTAAGTGGTATTTCCCTTACTTCCATTAAATTAAATTAAAACGCACTCTGTTCACTGATGGCAACCTCAGACCTTTTAAGCTCGTTTCTGACGCAGGTTTGATAAAATACTTGTTTCTTCTGTTTGTAATGTAGAATTTTAAAAAATACTTTGCAATATTCTGGGTCATAAGAGCTATAGAAGTTGCCTTCTTACCATCTTAACAAAAATAATTATTGCCTAAGTTTAATATCATTCTCTACCAGGAACTAAACCTCATAGACCTCACTAGTTTACCTCATAAAACCAGAGCAAGGGGACACCCAATGAAATTAAAAGGAAACACATAGAAAACAAGTTTTAATGCTTTGCAAAGTAACCTATGGAATTCTAGCCTCAAAATGTAAGAGCAATTAGCAGGATTGGGTTTTTTAAGTATTAAAGATTTAGGCTTTTTTTATGAATAGCAACATGCAGGGTTGCATTAGACAAAATAAACAAATTTTGTAAGAGTATAAACTCTTCCACACATAAGCCAATCACTAATTGACAGGGGTTAGAAAGACTCTAGGAGGAGACAATCATATATATAGTAGCCCAGTGTCTGTGACTCTGTAACGCTGAAATGCTGGCTGTTCCCTCTGGGCGGTGCTGTTGCATCCCGCCGTGGCGTTCGGCTGACTTCTGCGCCGCTCAGCCGGGCCGCCACGTGGGAGCAAGTGGCTCAAGCGACCGTTTGGGCTCCACAGTCCCCCGAGTGAGAGGCAAGAGGGAAGGAGAAGAGAAAGAGAGAGACAGAGAGAGAGGCAGGAGGCGGAGGAGAGCTGAGAGAGAGGGGGGGAGGCAGGAGGAGGAGGAGAGAGTGAGAGGCGGAGCGAGAGACCGGAGGCTCAGGAGAAAAGACCTGAAAATCCCATCTTCTGACGGGCTAATTGGCTAGTTATTCAATAATTGTCTATCAGAAGATTTTCTGCACCTTCCAAAAGCTTATACCACAGGTTGATTTCAGAGAGAGGGTAATGGACTAGAAGGACCATTGATCTGACATGGTATGGCCACGTTCCTACATCAGGATGATGGAACTGAAGGAAAAAAGATCTTCCTCCTTCAATATTGTAATGTCTCTGATATTGCAATCCTTCACTCTGGCATTAAAATCACCAACTCAAAGTCTAGGGAAAGGATTCTGCTTCTCTGTGACAAACTTTACTTTGTGTGTCAAATGACATGAAAGCAACAGCAAGAGCCTGGACAGCACCACAGAAAAAGCTTTAAAGTTGAATCTGTACAAAGACCAAATGCTAGGACTGCCATGCACGTCTAGCATATCCATTTCAAAGTTTGCTGAAGTAGTTCCAGCGACATCACCTTTCCCTTCTCATCTACACTGGAAGAAGGGAAGTTAAAATGATTAACTGGTTATCTGCTGGGGCTGCTGCTGTGGAGTCCTGCTGCTTGGTCCACCAGCCCCTCGGAGGCCAGGACTGCTCCGGCTCAGCACAGCTGGATGCCACCAGAATTCACCAGCAAGGATCAGTTAACTGGAAAGCCTCATGCTTACCGACTTGCTTACCAGTTAATTGTGTAACAGCCCTCACTGGAATTTCACCAAGCTGTTTAGGATGTAGCTATGTGTGATGCAGATTAGGGATGTTAAAAAGCAGGTAGTTGGGTAACTGTATAACCACTGAAAATTCCAGCAGTGACATGCACCTGCAGCGCGGGACAGCAGACAGCTCCCTGGGAGCCAGTGTGCTGGAGCACGGCTTTTAAGCCAGCTCCTGGCATGCACTGGTTCTTGCCCCGTGCTACTGCCTCTATATCATAGCAGACAGCTCCCTGGGAGTGGGGCATGAGCCTGCGTGTAACTCTTCATGGTAACGGATAAGCTCAGGCTTATCGGTTAATCATGTAAACAGATATCCCATTATATCCCTAATACAGACACATCAAATATCACAAGCAAAAGGAAACAAACATAAGAAGGATTTTTACCCTCCCACCCAAAGGATGTCAGTATTCACAGCAGGATAATCACCACCCTGTAAATCAGGAACATAAACTAGATGAATCAGTGCTGGCACCCTCGGAAGATCCCAGTTAAAAAATGGACAGAGGCCAGTCAGCTGTCACTAAAAAGGCTTCCCAACTGAACAAGCTTGTAAATAAAGTAAGTAATAATGAGACCAGGAAGGAATAAATCTGGTCTAAGCTTGAAAAACTGCAAGGACAAAAGAGAAAACTTTCCAGTTTCGTAAGTGATCTAAGTTTTAAAACTGCATCTCACAAAATTCCCCCCCAAAATTCCTGTCTAAAACACAGGAATCTTTGCCTTTCCAAATGGAGAGGAGGCAGATTTGGGATCATTCTTAGTGTGATGGTTACCAAAATACTGGAATTAACATTAAGGAAGTTCTCGTGTCTGTGGCATGAGCATGCGGTCCATGCTCAGGACAGGAATAGCAGGAGTGTTGCAGGTCAGCGTTAAAATGCACAGGTAGTTAAAGAAAGAAGTTTGCACAGCGCATTGTCTGACTCTGCCCAGTGCCATCAGTCAGCCTCTCGCCAACAGTGCAAGCCAGCGAGGGTCTGATTTGCAGAGGCACTGACCACCTGTATCTCCCTTCAGCCTCAATGGGAGCTGCACGTGCTCAGCACATGATCAGAACCTGTGCACAGAGAAAAAGAGTGAAAGAAGCTGTTGTGTTGCAACCCCGCCCCCAGCTGCCAGCGGAAAGCTGCACAAGGCTGTAGGAAAGGCCTGGAATCTACCCACCTGCTCCCGTTTGAGTTTCTCTCTCTTACGGATCAGCTCAATGAGCAGCCGCGCTCTCTCCAAATCGTGTCTTAACTTCTGCCAGTACTTCAGTTCCTCCTTCACCGCACTGGTCTTCTCATCCTGCTCCTTCTGCAAAGGGTAAGAAAGGCACATACAAGCTTTCCAGGTGTCTCCGCTGCACTGTATCGGAGGCAGCAAGGCAGGGAGCAGGAGCTGGTGCTGGGGAGAGCTGGCTTAAAAGCCAGTTCCCCCCAGCACCATCTCCACGGGGGCGTGAGTGGACAGGCGAGGCAGAGGCACAGTGGGGGACCCGGCTCATGCCCGGTCCCAGACAGCCGCAGCTCTGCCGTTGGAATGTAGCAAGAGCCTAACAGCTCTCATTGCATTTAAAGAGCAGAGCCACAGCGAAACTTCTTATCGACTAAACGAGTAGTCGATGCAAATTCCATCAACTACACAATTAGCTTGCTAACCACTATTTATCATCCCTACTGTCTACTTAAACACAACAGCAGCCGGATCATGTTAAAACCAGCGTTTGGTCTTATCTATGTGGACAGGTCTAAACTTGGGATGCAAATCTCTCTTCTGCTCCCAGGGGTCCAGCAGCAGGAGCTAGTAATTGCAGA